TATTATACTGATAAAGTAATATTTTGTGGGCTGTGATTTATGCTGGAAATTGCACATTGCTGTCATGTAAGTAAATAAAACATTAGCCTCATGGTGACCGTGTAACTATTGCCAATTGTCATTAAAACCCATCTGGTTCACTAACGTCCTTGCGGGAATAAAATCTACCACCATTACCCAGTCTGGCTGTGTGTGACTCCACACCTACAGCAATGTTGTTGACTCCTAATTGCCCTCTGGAATGGCATGGTGGCACAATACTTGGCATTGCTGCCTCACAGCAGCAGGGATGTGGGTTTGAATCCAGCATCGGGCGACCGTCTCTGTGGAGTTTGCACATTCTCCCTGTGTCTGTGTGGTTTTATGCCAGGTGCTCTGGTTTCCTCTCACAGCCCAAAGGTGTGTCGTTTAGGTGGATTGGCCATGCTAAATTTCTCTGTCGTGTTCTGGGATGTGTAGGCTAGGTGGAGTAGCCATGGTAAATGCAGGGGTACGGGGATGGAATGGTGGGGGTCGGGTCTGTGTGGGATTCTCTTCAGAGGGTCAGTGCAGACTTAATGTGTTGAATGGCCTCTTTCTGCACTGTAGCGATTCTATGTTCTAGGGATGGACAATAAATGATGGCCTAGTCTATGACACCTATGTCCTATGGATGAATAAAAAGATGATAATAAATATCATTGCCCACTGCCCACTGATGCTGCTAATAGTAGAAATACTTTTCGTGATGGGCTTGAATCCATAACTCACTGAACTACATGGGGAAGACTTGTTTCGCCAATTCATGCTTGGTCTAGGGTGTTGGCAGTGTGTCACCTTCTTGGCCAATGCAGCTCCTGTGATAAAGATACACCTTTCGTGTCAGTGGCATGGTGGCTCAGTGGTTAGCACTGCTGCCTCACAGTGCCAGGGACCTGGGTTCGATTCCACCCTCAGGTGACTCTCTGTGTGGAGTTTGCATGTTCTCCCTGTGTCTATGTGGTGTTGCCCTGGGTGTTGTGGCTTCTTCCTATAGAGCAAAGATGTGCAGGTTAGGTGGATGTGCCATGCTGATATGTCCAGCCTAGATTAGCTATTGGAAATGTAGGGGAAAAGGGCGTGGGTCTGGGTGGGATGCTCTTCAGAGGGTTGGTGTGGACTTGATGGGCCAAATGGCTTGCTTTCACATTGTAGGACTTCTATGATCAGTGCTGACAACACAGGGAGGGGGTAGTCCTTTTAAAGGAGTGACTGAGTCAAAAGAAGGAAGGTTGAGGTCTCAGAAATGCTAATTACCATCATGCAACAGCAGCTAAAGGGGCCTGCTAATTTTTAATCAACTGGGATTGAGCATATTCTCTGCCCTTTTGTTGGTGTCATCAAAATACTGTTGACATTTTGGTGTCCCTGTCCTCTCCCTGGGAGGCTATCTCCTCCACGTGGTTCTGGTGTTGATTAAGAGTCCACTCCCAGGAGAATTTCTTTGAGCTGATGATCTACATTGTAGAGTGTTGGAAGAGGTGGTTACACAGAGATAATGATGCTGTGTGGCGCCTTGCAAAATTCTGTAGTTATTGGAAGGTCATCTACAGATGGCAAGATAACAACTGAAACCCCTCCATTTAAGCAAAGCAGGAGAGAGAAAATGGGAAAGTACAGATTTATTCACCTTATATCAGTTATAAAAGATGTGATAACTGGACAAAACAAAATTATTGTAGGATTGGATGGAGTCAGCATGGAATAGTGAAGAGGAAGTCATGGCAAGGTGTTCTAATTGGAAGCTGGTTATTGTCATAATATACGCTGTCAGATGCACTGCAGGCCCCAATGGCAGTCCCAACAGATGGAATACCTGGGAATTAGAATAATTGAATCCTTACAATGCAGGTCAAGACCATTCAGCCCATCGAGGCTGCACTGACCCTCCGAAGAGCGTTGCACCAAGATTTGTTGGAGCAATTAATGATGGATAATGAGCCCACATTTGGGACCCTCATTAATAATTCCTAACCCTAAGATAGAGTCAGAAATTCAGAACTTTCCAAATTATTTGTCTGACTACTTGCCGAGGAAAAGTCAGAGAAAGAGAATCCTGCCCCGGCCTCCTGTTTGATGATAGACTAAAGTCAGAGGCGGCAGCTGACTCAGCAATGATCCTGACAGCTGCCCCAAATCCCCTCCCAGCCCCACATCTCCCCTGATCCTGAATCACATGAACCCAACACTTGCCTCGGCATGATATCCTCCTGATCTGACACATATCCCAGTCAGAGCTGGCCTGAACACTGAACCTAACAGACCATCCACACGCACAACCGTCCCCACAGCACCCCCGATCTTCACCTGCTCTGACCCCATGTGGCGTGACTATCTTCCTCTGACCACTCTGAATCAATCCTACATAGCACCCCCCTCACCTATCTACCTGCTAACCTACTCCCTCATCTACGTGTTACTCTATCCCCTCCAGTAAACTGCTAACATACCCATCACTCACCTGCCATCCTGCAAGGCATCCACACACTTGCCCTCATCTCCTCATCCACTGATGTGCCTCCTTTCTCACCCACCGACCATTTTATCCAAACAGTATTGCCTCAGCCAGTCAGAGACCTGGGTTTGATTCCAGCCTCGGGTGACTGTGTGGAGTTTGCACATTCTCCTCTTGTCTGCGTGTTTTTCCTCCCACAGTCCAAAGATGTGCAGGTTAGGGTGGCTTGGCCATGCGAAACTGCCCATAGTGTCCAGGGATGTGCAGGCTAAGTGAATTAGCCGTGGAAAGTACAGGATTACAGGGATACGGTAAGTGGGTTGGTGGTAGTCGGGGGTTGGTGGGGGTGGTGGTGGTGGTGGGATGCTTTTCAGAGGGTCAGTGCAGACTTGATGGGCTAAATGCCTTCCATCTGCACTTGTAGGACTTCTATGATTCTAACCATTTCATTCAACCATCTGTCATCTTACTCCCACGCTGATTTACTTGTTATAAGATATTTTGGATCCGTGAACCCACCAGTTATACCTGTAAAAAGGGGACGTCTAATGCTGATCCTGCACCTCCGCAATGCTTCCGTTATCAACTACACTCTGCAATTCTAAAGAAGTCCAAATTGGATGTTTGCTCTGAAAATTTGGAGTCCTGCAATAGGGCAAGAAAAAAGGAGCTTTGTGGCAATCCAACTGTGATTGCCACTCTTCAGAAGGTTTGGTTCCAAGTTTTACAAACCCATTGGAGATTCTTAAGGATATAATGAGCAGAATAGATAAGTAGGGGTTGGGGGGGTGCAGTGAATGTGGTGCATTGGATTTTCAGAAGGCTTTTGATAATATCCTGCACAGGAAGTTAGAAAGCAGAATTAGAACAGATGGGATTGGGGGTAATGTCCTGGCATGGTTTGAGAATTGATTATTCGATTGAAAGCAAAGAGTAGGAATAAACAGATTACTCTCAGGGTGGGAGACTGTGACCAGTGTACCACTGCAAAGATTAGTGTTTGGTCTCCAGCTGTTCCCTATCGCTATGAATGATTTGGGGACCAAACATAATATTTCCAAGTTAGCTGCTGACAGAAACCTAGGTAGGAATGCAGAGGCTCTTAAAACCTAATGGGCTGAATCGCCAATCTACACCCTTTTTTAAAATTTTCATATGTTCAGAAAATGCCTGATAGAGTTCTTTCATATTACAAAGGGGATTTAGAGAAGATATTTCCATCCACAACAAAAGGTCATAAATATAAGACACTGGCTGCTAAATCCAACAGGGAACTCAGGAGAAATGTTCTTACCCAGAGATGATGGGTAAGGTATGCGTTTCCACAGGCCTGATACAGTCACAACAGGCTGAATAAACTGAAGGAACGGGAGGTAATCTCATTGAACCATACAATATTCTGAAGGAGCGTGAGAAAATTTAACAGATTTGACAGTGGTCAGTAAATCTAGACCATGGAGCGCAGCCTCAGGAGAAAGGATTGATCATTTAGAGTTGTGATAAAGAAAAAGTTCTGACTTGACCCATCAATTCTCTAATATGACTCCAAGTGTACAGCAGAGACACAGGCCACTCGTCCTGTTGGGTGTATAAAGAACAAAAAACAAAGAACAAAGAAAATTACAGTACAGGAACAGGCCCTTTGGCCCTCCAAGCCTGCCCGTCACAACTAAAACCCCCTACCCTGTATTTATTCTCCATACTAGACTCTTCTGACCCTGCCACACCTCACTTGAAGGATTGTGATGTTTTTGAATTTTTTACTGCCTCAGAGGGTTGTATTGCTTCATCTTTTATGATATTTAAGTTGAGGCAAACAGAATTTTGATTTCTCGGGGAGTTAAGAGAAATGGGGAATTGGGGGAAAGTAGAATTGAAGACCAAGATCATACTGAATGATGAGAGATGGTAGGAACTGCCAATACTGGAGTCTGAGATAACAAGGTGTGGAGCTGCGTGAACATAGCAGGCCAGGCAGCATCAGAGGAACAGGAAAGCTGACAATGAAAGTTGAATGGTGATCTGGTTTGACAATCTCTCTGGTTTACTCCTCATCTGGTTTCTTGTGTTTCAGTGTGTCTAATTTATGTTGCAAATTTTCAGATTTTTTTTTTTTCCCCCTTTACTTGTTAATGGAATAAGGACGTTGCTGGCTAGGCAACATTTATTGCCCATCCCTAAGAGTCAACCACATTGATGTGGGTCTGGAGTCACATGTAGGCCAGACCAGGTAAGGATGGCAGTTTCCTTCCCTAAAGGACATTAGTGAATCAGATGGGTATTTTCCAACAATCGATTCATGGTCATCATTAGACTCTTAATTCCAGATATTTTATTGAATTCAAATTCCACCATCTGCCATGGCGGGATTCGAACCTGGGGTCCCCAGAATGTTATCTGGGTCTCTGGATTAACAGTCCAGTGATAATACCACTAGGCCATCGCCTCCCGATATTGCACCTTTTCCTTTGAGTACGGTTTTTACAATTAAATGCGGTCTGACATTTGCTCAATTTGCTGTTTGTACCTTGGCACGTGGTGCCATCATTTGGAGTAAACTTTTTCTTATGTTCTGAGGACTCGTAGCCTTCCACGCACGTGCAGTAATAACTCCCATAAGTGTTAGTGCAGGTTGCATTCTGTCCACATGTCAAAGTTGCGTTCTGGCACTCATCGTCATCTGCAATAGAAACATTACCTGTCATTAAAGCCATCATCAAGAAGAGGAAAAACTCACATTAATACTGTGTGACAACTAATGCAATGTTTCGGGAAGCATAGTCTCGGTACTTTGAAGTTTTGCTTCAGGCCAAGGAAGGTAACATGTCCAAACAGGTCGAGTATCAATCTGAAAAAAGTCTTCCAGTATATGCCAGTGGGATACAGGAAGAGCAGGTGAGATTTCTGGTCAACCATGTGGTAGGAAGAATATTGGGCATTCTACCATGATTTTCCATCGCTCCAGGCTACATCATGTGTATGTTGCCATAGCAACTTAAATTCCTGGAATTGGCTCAGTTGGCTGGGTGAACAGCATGGATCAAACTGTTGCCAATAGCAAGGGGTTTGATTCCTGCAAGAGTTGGACTGGAATTGAGGCCTGAGTCCTTGCCCCATCCATGCTGGAGATGACAGTACGATGGGTCAGACCTTCCTTCAAGTAGAGAATTTAAGAAGTGTCTCTGTGTTATCATAGAAAACCAGGCAACCAATGGCATGGTGGCTCTGCAGTTAGCACTGCTGCCTCACAGCACCAAGGACCTGGCTTTGATTCCAGACTTGCGTGACTGTGGGGTTTGTACATTTCTCTCTGTTTTTGCTGGGTGCTCTGTATCTTCCCGCAATCCAAAGACGTGTAGGTTAGGTGGATTGGCCGTGCTAAATTGCCCCATAGCGTCCAAGGATGTGTAGGCTAGGTTGATTGGCCATGGTAAATGTGAGGAATGGGGAGAGAGTGGGTCTGTGTGATAAGCTCTTTGGAGGGTTATGCAGGCTGAATGGCCTTGATCTGCACAATAGGGATTCTGTGATTCAATACCTGGCAGAAAGAGTCCACAACATAACGCAATATGGTAATAACCAGACAGTCTGTTTTTGGAGATTGAAGGGTAGGTATTGGCTAGGACCATGGGATTAACTCACTTTTCTTCTTCAAAATAAAGCCATGTGATCTGCTGTGATCATCTGAAAGGACAGATTGCACCTTTGGTTTAATGGCTCATCATTACTTTTTAGACGGGAATGTTAACCACAATTTTTGTGCTCAAGCCTCTGAGATGGGCCTTGCATTCCCAGCCTTTTGGTTCGAGAAAGTGTTTGGGACTGTATTTTTAGGACCACAGTGGTAGAAGTGCATTATCAGCCTCACTACCCTGGGCTGTAATATCAGTCTCACTTCCAGAGGAGATGTTAAAGCTAAGGCTGTCTTTGTCTTATAAGATAGACTTCAAAGGTCTTACAGCAACAATCCAGAGGAGGGTAGGGGAATTGTTCTTGGCAACAGCATTAAAAAACTACTGGTACTTAACTTCTTGTATCCTGTGTCGACCTATCCTGAGGTTGAAAGATGTGATATCTGAGAACAAGATTGCTCTTTTACATAGTTTATTGAATTCACTTCTATTGAAACTGTGCAGTAATGCTTGTAGACCTCTTTGACTTCACCAAGTCAGCAAAATGTATGAAAGAAATAATTAAGTTATTCCAATGAAGCACATCTAAATACACCTTCAAAGTTATGAGGGTTTCTGCCTCTTCCACTATTAAAGGCAGTGAGTCCCAGATTCCCACTACCCTCTGGGTGAAAAAATCATTCCTCACATCTCCTCCAAACCTTCTGCCCCTTACCTTAAATCAATGACCCCCCTTGTCATTCATTCCTCCATCAAGAGCAAAAGTTTCTTCCTGTCTACCCTATCTATATCCCTCATAATTTTATACATCTCAATCATATTCCCTCTCAGACTCCTCTGCTCCAAGGAAAACAACCCCAGTCTGTCCAATCTCTGTTCATCCCTGAAACTTATTGGACAGTGTTTTCCCTCAGGGATCTGAAACAAAATAGGATTAGCTTCATGTTCCTGAACCTAAACCTGACACAAATCAGACTAGGGGAAGTAGTTTTATTCCTTCACAGGGCATGGGCATCACTGGCCAGTCTAGATTTTAGTGCTCATCCCTAATTGCGTTGTCTTCTGGAACTACTGCATTCCATGTGATGTAGGAGAGGGAGTTCCAGTTATTAGCTGGTGGGACATGTTATGATATACCACCATATTCTAAGTTGGGGATAACATTGCTTGGCTGCGACCCTTGTGGTGCAGTGGTAGTGCTCTTACAGCTGAACTAGGATCCCTGGGTTCAATTCTTATCTGCTCCAGAGGTGTGACATAATGTCCCTGAGCAAGTTGATTTGGAAAATATCTGTAGGCTGAGCCTGACAAGTTTCTTGAGCAGTTTCTAAATTAACCTGTTCAGACATATTATGGAGTAGGTGGGATTTGAGCCCGGGCCTCTGGACCCAGAGGTAGAGGACATTATGACTGCACCACAAGAACCTTTCACTTTTAATGTTATCAATCTATCATGACTGAATTCTATACAGTACATCATAGCCTGCATGGAGATATTTCTAATCAACCTGTTATGATATGATATTACCTGAGCTTAATGATCTATCTGGTTAGTTGTGGTAGAAGATACATCATTGTGTCTTAAAAAGAGACAGAACAAGATGTAGTTTATTATACGATTGAAACAGGTCCAAGTTGGATCTAGTTTCAGTTCTGGTCTTCCTGTCATAGGAAAGATGTTGTGAAACCTGAAAGGATTCAGAAAAGATTTAAGAGGATGTTGCCAGAGTTGGAGGGTTTGAGCAATAGGGAAAGGCTAAATTGACAGGAGTCATTTTCCCTGGAGTGTTGGAGGCTGAGGGGTGACCTTATAGAGGTCAATAAAATCATGAAGGGCATGGATAAAGTGAAGAGACAAGGTCTTTTCCCTAGGATAGGGGAGTCCAAAACTAGAGGGCATAGGTTTAAGGTGAGAGGGGAACGATTTAAACGGGACTTAAGTGGCAACTTTTTCATGCAGTGGGTCAGGCATGTGTGAGCTGCCAGAGAAAGTGATGGAGGCTGGAACAATTACAACATTTTAAAGACATCTGGATAGGTACGTGAATAGGAAGGGTTTAGAGGTATATGGACTAAATGCCGGCAAATGGGGCTAGATTTACATAGGATATCTGATCGACATGGACGAGTTGGACCGAAGGGTCTGTTTCCGTGCTATGTATCTCTATGACTCAATGACTAAAGTTAGAAAGACTGACAGGATCCGGAGATAATGTGTCTGCCTCCACTGGAGTGTTTTACTGAGCTGTTCCACTGCGTGATATCCTCAGATCAGGGGAGATTAATGCAGTCTCCAACATTAACCTTTTCAGTACCATTACCTTGTACAATAGTGGTGTTTCCACACATCTGCTGCCCTTGTCCCTCTCGGGGGTAGAGGTCAGGGCTTTGGCAGGTGCCATGGAAGAGGTTTTTGGTGAGTCACTGCTGTGCACCTTGTAGGTGATACATACTGCTGCCAATTTGCATCAGTGGTGGAGGGAGTGAATGTTTAAATTGGCTGACGGGGTGTTAATCCCGTGTGCTGCTTTGTCTAGGTGGAGCTCTATATCTTGAGAGGATCTCCACTGATTCAGGCAAGTGGAAGTTATTGCAGCAAAGTCCTGAGTTATAATTTGTAAATGGTCAATAGGATTTGGTGAGTCAGGAAGTGAATTACACACCGCAGAAATTTCCAACCTTTGACCTGCCCTTGTGGCTGCAATATGTATGCGGCTGGTCCAGTTCAGTTTCAGGTCAATGTCCACCCCTAAGATGTTGAGAATGGAGAATTCTGCCTTGGTAATGTTATCAAATGTCAAGGGCATAAACTAAAACAAAGAACTCTGGATGCCAGAGATCTAGGGCTGTATGGAGGCTCAGTCGTTGGCACTGCTGCCTCACAGTGCCTGGGATCCAGGTTCGATTCCAGCCTCGGGTGTCTGTCCCTGTGGAGTTTGCACATTCTTCCTGTGTCTGCGTGGGTTTGCTCCGGTTTCCGGAGCAACGATGTGCAGGTTAGGTGGACAAGCCATTCTAAATTGCCCACAGTGATGAGGGATGAACGGGACAGGTGGTTTAGCCAAGAAAAATACAGGATTACACAGATAGGGTGGGGAGTAGGTCTGGGTGAGATTCTCTTCAGAGGATCAGTACAGAATCAGTGGACTGAATGGTCTCTTTCTGTTCTGTAGGAATCCTATGATCTGAAACAAAGACAGAAATTGCTAGGAAAACACTCAGGTCTGGCAGCATCCGTGGTGAGAAAGCAGAGTTAATGATTCAAGGCCGGAATGACTATTTTTCAGACAGCCCGTACCTTCCATTGCTGAAAGCGAATAAAATTTCTCCCTGCTAAGATAATTATATATTTTTCCTCTTTGGGTTGCAACCAGCTCTTAGAAAACTGCTGCATTTGCCACTAAGTTGTTGTTTGACAGGAACCCTGGGAGTGTGTCTGAAACCATCTCATTGCCAGCATGGAGTTCCCAGGAGACTGCTGGGTAGTATCAGGGGGATTCTGGGATTGCACCATTCTATGGGCCCACAGGCAGTTGCCATTGGGGAAGAGGTGGCATTTCCTGAGGTTGCAGTTCTTCAAGCTGGAGATTGGAGCCTCCTGTCTGTTTTCTTTTTCTGAGGCCCATTTTCACTGTGAGAAAACTAAACATCGCTGATTAACACTATTGTCCTGTCAAAAAAAAAAGCTTTTTTGAAGTGAGCCAATCCTTTTTACATCGCAAGGTGATTGGGGATTGTGGGCTGGGCAATAATGTGGCCTTGCCAGCATCCTGTGAACAAATAATAAAAAAAAAGACTATTTGTTTAGTTTCACTGACATCCTCCCTTGTACGGCGAAGCAGAAATTAAACTGCATTCAATGGGATATCCTCAATTTCCCCTGCTGGGACACTGAAGTCAACTTAACCTATAATGAAAATCCTGCCACTCCACCCAGTATTCCGTCTCCCGCCCTCAAGAAAAAATCCACAGCAATATATCATTTTGTCGTTTTAGCCATGTGAAGGACGTGTTATTAAGAGGAATGAAGGGTGATAACTCTGATGGT